TTTTAAAAATTGAACTAAACATCAAATCAGGACTTCTCATAGATTCTAAGGAGGTGGAAAATCACATCTAAAGGATTAGTTAAGAATCCGACAGCAAAACAAGACTCAACTTGGGAGAAACCGCACACCAATACACAATCAGAGAAGTATTCAGTATTACCTACAAAAGAAAATGTTTTTTTAAAAAGTATGACTTTAAAGAATAGATAGTTCACTTGTTCTCTGTTATTATTCATTCAGAAAAAAAGTCCTTGACCATCACATGCCAGTCACCCTAAGGCAAGCCAGGACTAAGACTTAGCAGGCTTGATAGTTTGAACTTGACTGTGGAGTCAAAAATGCAAAGCATTTGGGCACAAGTGGGTAAATGTAAATGACCCTATTAATAAAAAGTTGTTGTATTGTCTTGGGTTTTGATTATTTCACCTTAGCAAGTAGAATACTTACTAATGTCTTGTCTAAGGCTCTCTTACTGCTCTCTTACTGTTTTGATTATTTCACCTTAGCAAGTAGAATACTTCATTTTGTCTAGGAAAAAGCATGCTGTAAGGATGCAAGAGCAAAGAAGTAACCAGTTGACAGTGGACCCAAGCAAAGGGTGAGAGTAAATGGCCGATAGTTGTGCCATTCTACTCACAGCCAGAGGCAGCTTGCCTTGCAGCCACTCTTTTTTAGCCGCATCACAATTGCAGCCGTGGAACCAAGTGGAGGTAAGGTTAAGCAAACCATCTGCATAGGCACTGGGTACTCCAGTCTTCCCAAGAAGTGCTGGTGAGCCACACACCCTCACCTGCTTTTTGTTTACAAGAGGTCCCACCCCAAAAAAGTTATTTAAGAATTTTTGTTAATCTCAACTAAATTATAAGATAAAGTTTAGCCATATATAATCAAGTCAGGGGTTACACTCTGGCTGAGTTTTAAAGGTGAATAGAAAATAATCCATGTGGGACTACAGAACCTACTCTACGAGACGATCATACAGTAATAACAATGGTTCCGTTTACTGAATCCTTACTCTGTGACGAGCACATTGCTAAGCATTTTACATGCATTATCTCATTGGATTCCCTAACCAATTTATGAGGTAGGGACTACTATCCTCCGTAGGAGGAGACCAAAGCCAAGAGACATGAGGTTACTCGGCCAGTGTCACACATTTTTAAGTGGCAAGGCCAAGTCTGAGTGGCCTCGAAGCCCATGCCTCTTTCACTCCCTGCTCCCGCACACACAGTGAGGGTGTACACAGTACACCTTCCTCAGGGCCCACAAGGAAGGAATGGGTGGCAGAGAATTGGTGGAAATTGTAGAGGAATGTCTTGGTGCATGGTTGGAGTTAGGAGCAAGGGCACAGTCCCAGTCCCACAGCACCTTGGGAAGACAGATTCTATAGAAACCTGATTCCATGTCCAAAGATCCTCTAACGTGCTTTTGACTACTGAAGAAAAGACTAAAATGTAAACTGTAACCAAAAACCATTTTACCACAAAGACATTTGCACTAGAATGTTTATTGCAGCTCAGTTCACAATTGCTAAGTTGTGGAAGCAACCAAATGCCCATCAACCCGTGAATGGATTGACAAACTGGGTCATACGTAAAAAGATGGAAACTTGACATCTTTTGTGTTTACCTGGATGGAGCGGAAACACATCTTCTCAGTAAAGTCTCACAAGAATGGAAAAACAAATATGCAATGTACTCAATACTAATATGAAACCAGTATATAAACAATGACACGCCCACAGGATAGAAAAACAAATATATTCCATAGAGGGGGAAGAGGGAGGAGAGGGGGAGCACTTGGCGGGATCTCACCTAGTGGGCACAGTGTGAAGGTGTTCAGCATGTCCCCTGGGTGAAGGGCTCAACTACCACTTGAACTTTACCTTCGAAGTTAAAACAACGTAACCTAAAAATTTCTTCCCTCGTGATTAATTTGAATTTTAAAAAATTACAAATTATTCCTTCAAAAAAAAAATGGAAATACAATGGAGTGATTCAGTTCAACCTGTGTTTGTTGAGTACAATGTCAGAAGAAATCAGTGTGTCCGCACAGGAAACTCCAATGGGCCAGATTTTAGAAGGACGCAGAAGATTAAAAAAGGAACATGTAATCCAGGATAAGAGTTTGGCTAGAATCTGCGGGTATAGAATGCAGCAAAGAGGCTGAATCTGAAAAACAACAACAAAAAATACTCCAAAGACAGCAAAATAGTGCCTTGAAAGCTGTTTCCTTTGGATTGAGAACAAGGAAAGGATAGGCCCAGGGCGTGTGGCAGATGGTGTACTGTTAGATGTGAGGGAAGGCAGAGTTTTCAGCTCTCAGCTTTTCTGTTTTCTCTATCAAGGAAAATGGTCCTCAATCTAGAAACATTAAACAAATATCTAGAAGGGAATTGAATCTGGATAAGCGAGGAAAATGGGACGCAGGTTTCTAAACCCAAATGAGAGGGACGGAGAAGGGTGTCTTAGGTGTGGCATTGCTCAGTCAGAATTTGTTGAATGAACAGAATTAAGCTCCTGCTGGGGAAATAACGTGCACGCATGACCTCAGTCTTTGAAAACTCATGGAGAATTCAGGACCAAAAGACTAGGGGTGGGTGGTGCCTGTGGCTCAAAGGAGTAGGGTGCCAGCCCCATATGCCGGAGGTGGCAGGTTCAAACCCAGCCCCAGCCAAAAACTGCAAAAAAAAAAGACTAGGGGTGAGCGTGTTTTCTGCTATTCGTAGAAGAAACCATGAATTCTGATTCTTGTCAGAATTCTAGAAAGGACTGGTAAAGAAATTAAGAGCCTTTAGAAAGAATTTAGAGGTTCCTAGGAACCGCTGGTGTTTACTGGGAAGCTGTGAAGAACAAATGTCTTTCCTTTTCTGAGTGGAGTTGCATGGTCTGTAGTGCCATTGAATGTGGCCGACATTTTGAAGCTTGATTTCAGGAAATTATTTGGTGATCAAAGTTTCCTGTAACAGCCTCATGGACAAGATGTAGCAATGTGGGCTGGATGATACCAGTTTGATGAATTCAGAATCAGCTTTACTCAAAGGCCAAGAAAGGTCCCCCAAAGATAAGCCAGATGGCTCTGTTCTTGGTCTAGTCCCATCTGATTATTATTTTTTTCAGTATCACGCAAAGGTACAAGACGTACATTTATCAATTTTAACAATTCTTCAGGAATCCCAGAGCTAGGAGAAATATGTCAGCTGGATAAAGTATTCACAAGATTTCCCCATGATAGGACAAAATAAACAAGGTGATATTTAACAAGATATATGTAAAGTCTTGAACTGGGTTAAGAAAAAGATTAGCTGTGCAAAGTTAACATTAAGGCATCAGACCCCACCTCCACTACTGTGAAAAGACTGGAGTTATTTACAGGTTAATGAGAACCCCAGCAGGACGCTGCTAAGAAGTCTTCTGCAATCCCTGAGCCCAGGATAAAGGTGTGAGACGGTCTCTCCATTTGGGGTTGTTGATATTTTATTTCATTCTGGGGTCAAATATATGTACATATCTATTTTCAGATATATCCTGGGAAATTAGAGGACAAAAAGAAGGTAGGCAGCCCTCCTATGACAAAATGATGAATGATCTGGAGGTGCCGAATATGTAAGAAAGCAGATCCCAGTGAATTGTGAGACCGGTCCTTAAATATGTCAAGGTCTTTTATGTAAAAAAAAACGTAGTTCTGTGTTCTCTACTTTCCTCCAGGATGGAAAACTAGAATCAGTGGCTGCCGGCCAGTAGAAAGAAAAGTTCAGTACTTAGAGTGCACAGCCATGCAGGAGGCTGCCTGGATATCTGGGAGGTCCCTGGTCACATGCAGAGAGAGAGTGGCTACCTGTCATGGGGAGGTGGAGGGAATTCCTGCTTTGGCTTGTGGCTGGGCCAGACGACCCCTGAAGGTTCTTCCATTGTGTATATTTTACGATTCGAATAGTGTCCATTCCTATTTATTAAGCTTATACAAGTGGCAATAAGGGAACCTAGAGGTGGGTTTGTTATGCGGATTAAATGAGATGCCTGTAAAGGCGCACAGCCCATCAAATGGCAGGTAATCTCTGCGTAGTCAGTAGCAGCTTGTTATTACTATAGCGCTTGTGTGTCTTGTCGTCCTAGTTTAACCAATGACAAAGAAGAGTTTCCGAAAAGTTAAACAACTTGTACAAAGTCACCTAAATCTTCTGTCTGCATTGTTTTTCTCTCCGCCTATGAGGACCCTCCGGTACAAATCCTTCTGGCCCTAAGCTTTAGCATAGAGCAAGTATTCTCATTCCCGGGTCAATATTAGAAGGCATCGCTATGTTGCTACTTCTCACATATGCCCAGATTTTAACATTTTAGTATCTAAGCATCCAGCACCTAACACTGAGTATCTAAGCAATGCCAATTTTCTCATGATTATTCTTTTGTTTAATAAAGGTCATGATCTAAGTAGGGAATATAACTTTCTCCCCCATGAGGCACAAAGCTAATAACCTTTTTTCATCATTTGACTTTTATGTAAAACAATCAAAATGCCAGTCACTACTATTTTATGATCAAACGTGGTCCGAGTTTCCCCAACCCATGCAGGCCTAGCCATATTCCCCTGGGGCATTCGGGGGCATTTGATTTGGGGGGGAGAAAAAGGAGGAGGAGATAGTAACCACCAGCTAGGGTTTGCCTGGGTGAGAGACGTGATGCATAAACACATACAAGTTTTACAGAGGATGTACAAATAGACAGAGAAGGGTCATTTACGGTGGGACATTATCAAAAGTACATGAACCTTGGAGCTGGAGTAGTCATACCTTATATGTCCAAGGAGACCTCCCCCTATAGCATGCACAGGATGGTTTTATTTGTCATGCCCATGACTTTGAGGCTTCAACAGGGGTGTCAGGGAGCTGCTGCCTGCAGAGCCCTTCTCGCTACAAACATGGCCCGTTAAAGTGGCTCCCAAGCAGTTCCATCATGGGGAGAGAAACGCCAATCTAACGCATTTGCTCTTGATTTCTTAAGCAGATTCAGGCACACAGGATGAAGCACAGCTTTTGCAGGAATGGTTTAAGCTGGTTCTGGAGAAGAATAAATTAATGCGATATGAGTCGGAGCTCCTAATCATGTAAGTAAGGCAACACAGATAACAGCGCGTCCTAAAAGCAAAGGGGTTAGAGGGGGGTTGCTTACCCTCCTAGGTGGAAGTCTCGGGATTTTTTTCTCCTTGTGCATACAGAATAGTGATTGAGGCAAATTGAAATTTTACGTCTTGCATATCATGTTAGCATTAGTGGGAGGAATCTTTGGTGGTCGGTTCTCTCTGCAGAGTCCTGTGGCTAAAATAGATTTCAGGGAATGGGCCTGGAGCTGAAGGGCATTTGGATAAGGTCTTTTCACCCATCACTGTCCCAGGCCCATCTGAAAAGGGTAGTCACACACCTGCAAAGGTTACATCTGGCCTGGCCTCTGAGCATGAGTGGTGGGACAGGCTCAGTGAGATCTGCCCGGCCACTTCCTGAGGGTTTGAAGGAATGAAGGACTGAGATTTGTGTGGCTGTCCTCTCTGAATGTGGGGTCGCAGCCTGGTTGGGATATCAGAGAGTCAAGATGGATCTCACCACAGCCTGAAAAAGTTCACTATCACTCTACCTGTCACCATCCTGGAGGGAAAGAGGGTAACATTTCACATAAACCAGTCGGGCTGAGGCTTTCATTGATGCTGTCTCATTTCATTTCATCCTGACCTTGAGAGAAACGTTTAGGTACTTCCCTGCCTGGGTTCTGAACCAGGTGAGAAATAAGACAACAATTCAATAGATGGAGCATCAGAATATCACGCATCCTGCTGATAACGGCTTCTATGCCAGCGGCTTGTGCTTGGCTAAGTATGAAAGCCCAGATGGGCTTGCTAATGATATTCGTCTCTTTGCGTAATGAATTACTGCAAACTGGATCGGGAAGCCAAAAGTCCCAAATCAAGGTGTTGGGAGAGCCGAGTTCCCTCCAGAGGCTCTACGGTAGAGTCCTGTCTGTCTTTTCCACTTTCTGTGGCTCCGGGCATTCCCCACTGTGTGGCTGCATCACTCCGGTCTCTGCCCCTGCTGTCACACAGCCTCCTCTGTGTGTCTGTGTCTTCTCTTACTATGGATCAGGACACTTGTCACTGGAGTTAAGTCCCACTGAGATAACCCAGAATGTTCTCATCTCTAGCCTTTAATTACCTCTATAAATGAGGCCCTTTCCAAATAAGGTCACAGTCACAGTTTCCAAAAGTTAAGACAGATCTCTTTTTTTGTGGGGCAGGGGGGGAATCACCATTCAACCCACTATACTATCCAAATCCCAGAACTTGACATACCCATCTACCTAATCACAAAACGTAGGATGCTAACTGGCACTGGAGGAACAAGGCTTTTATCCTGAGCTGTCAGGGTAGTATCCTCAGGCAATATTTGGCAATGTCAGAGACATTTTTGGTTGTCACACCTGGGGGCTGCTACTGATACCTAGTGAGCAGAAGTCAAGGATGCTGCTGAACAGCCTACAGTGCACAGTACAGTCCTCTCCACCCACTAAAAAAGAATAAGCTGGTCTAAGATGTCACAATTGTCATGATTAAGAAACTGGCCATAGACTGTAGCAAGGCTCAGAGGAATTGAGAACACACGTTTGCTGAAGAGGGGCTGAGCCTGGGAGAGAAAGAGAGGCACAAGTTTAGCTCACCTAGTCTATTTTTCTCAAATTTACCTCCCCTGGGGTGAGAGTGAGGAAAGGCAGGGTTGGGGGAGGAGTCCAGGGGTTATATTCACTGAGTTCCATGGAATAGATTCACTCCCCTCCCACAGAAGGGAGTGGGGAAGAAAGAGTCATGTCTCTGGTTTGTAAGTTGATACATATACCGAGACTCAGGGCAACTAAGTAATGTGTCCACACTCACCTGAGTACAAGGCCTCTTTTGTGTAACTGTACCGTTTGCCTTAGGGCCCTGAGTCATGAAGGTCATTGCACAAAAGTTTATCACAGAATTCTATGTGGCAGGAACTATGTTGGTGTTCTATGGAAGTAAAGATGAATAATGCCACAGTCTGTGTCTTCTAGGAAGTTGTGTTTTGGGGAAGAGAGATCTGTAAACTGCTGTACAACAGTAATGAGAAAACACTCAAGAACTACAGGTGTGGGCCAGCACTCTGGCCAACTACAACAGGGACTCTACCTAACAAATGCAAAGATTGGAACCTAGTTGTTTGAACCCTTTCATTATCTGAAATTAAAAAAATAAATAAGTAAAAATTTAAAAAATGAAACTTTAAACAAAAAAAAAAAAAAAAGAAAAAGAAACACAGCAAGAGCTCCATGTAAGGAGCAGTTTCAAGGGTCGGGCAGTGACAGTCAGGCAGCATGGCTGCCCGTGCTTCGTGACTCGGGGGAGCTGCTGTCCTAGTCCGTACACAGTCAGAAGGACCCACCCCTCCAAAAGAGGGAAATGGGAGAACTCAGGCATCTGAACTGGACAAAGGCAGGTTACGCTCTGTTAAAGGATAGGTTTTCTTTAGGGAAAGATCTGGATGAGCAGGGGAAAATGTCTTCAATGGATGCATCAGCTGCAGTCCTTTGGGAAGCAGGCAGGAGAGTCAGGCATACAGGAGATGTGTTGGAGGGAACGCCTGTGAAGGAGAAAGGGAAAGGGAGCAGGAGGAAGAGGCGTCTCCAGACCCCACTGCAGTTCTACACCTGTAAAAGGAGAGGGGCAGGGAGGACTGGGCAGCAGGGGCCCCCCATCCAGCCCAGCTCTGAGACAGCCTTGCCCAGGGTGGGCAGAGCACCAGGCCAAAGACTGCCCATCAGGAGGATCGTGCTGGTGGGAGTGGCACAGCTCCAGTGCCACCTCTTTCCACTGTCATCTCCTGGGAGCCGCATGGCGAAAGCATGGCCTCAGCATGGCATGGAAGTGGCTTCTGTAGTAGCAGTCAGCTCACACGCTCCTCCCAGGTCCTGCTCTCAACCCTCACCCTCTTCATTCTCTGCAGCAGTGAACACCCTCGCTCTCTTCTCTCAAAACTTTCCTCTCTCAGCGTCTATGATTTCTTATTAACATTTTAGCCTTCCACCCTTTCGATCGCTTCTTGCAACTGTCTCCACCTCTTTGTTTGACTCTAAATGTAGGTCTTTCCAACCTCTGTCTTCAAACCTCTTCTTTCTCTATAGCCTTTCTGGAGAGATCACATGATGTTGGCTGTCACCTCTGACCACCACCACCTTGGTCTGTGGTCCTCATTTCTCCTGAGAGCTCCAGAGTGACTCTTGGGAGCCTCTGCATTACTGCACGGGCCAGCCTGTGGGGGGCGCTTACACTTGCTTTGTGATAGAAACGGGACAGTCCCAGGCATCGGGCATTGGCGTTCCAGCTGCCCTCCACCGGGGGCTAACTTCTTCACTTTGCTGCTACTCTCGGGGAACACAGAGCCCCCACGCTCAAGGTGACTGACTGTTCCAAAGCTTCACTGACACTTCTTTCCACACCCGCCACACCCGTTGGATAGTGGTTTGAGTTGTGAGGTCTCCCCTGGATAAAAGGTCTCACTTCTGTTTCTTTCTGTCTTCTTGTTTAACACAATCAAAGATTGGGGAGTTGCTAGAGATAATATCAAAGTCACGAGGCTCCTAAAAGCAAAGAGCTTCAGGTTGTCGCTGTTTCTCCCCAGGACTGTTCTGGTCATTTCTCTGCTATTCTCCCCACCTCCAGCCCATCCCGAGATGGTGTCTGCAAGGCTGTCCTGAAGCCCTCAGTGCTAACATCACAACCTTCAGCTGCTCACTCAAGTTCAGCATCTTTGATCAGTCATTCCAGGCACCTTTAGTGATTCCAACAGCAGCAAAACTTTCAGTTAGAGATAGGCAAAGCCCCAGGTTTTTTTGGTTTTGGGGGGGTTTTTTTGCGTCACCTCTGACATATGGGGCCAGCGCCCTACCCCTTTGAGCCACAGGCACTGCCCAAGGCCCCCAATTTTGTTTTGTTTTTTTGAGACAGAGCCTGAAGCTGTCCCCCTGGGTAGAGTGCCGTAGCATCACAGCTCACAGCAACCTCCAGCTCCTGGGCTCAAGCGAGTCTCCTGCCTCTGCCTCCCAAGTAGCTGGGACCACAAGCACCCGCCACAACACCTGGCTATTTTTTGATTGCAGCCGTCATTGTTGTTTGGCGGGCCCGGGCTGGATTCGAACCCGCCACCTTAGGTGTATGTGGCTGGCACCTTAGCCACCTGAGCCACAGGTGCAGAGCCAGGCCCCCAGTTTTAACAAGGAATGTCATAGCTACCATCAGTGGGTTTACTCATCAAAGTTTCCTTATAAATATCTAATGTTCACAAAGTTTAAATCTTTTCTCATGCCCAGGGCCCAACAGCTAGAATTAGAAGATCATCAAAGCAGACTGGAGCAGAAATTAAGAGAGAAGATGCTCAAAGAGGGTGAGTATGCTGATAGGTCCTGGGCCCTGGTTAAAGACATTTCTCCCGAGAAAGACACATGAGCAGAACATGCTGGGAGTCCCAGAGTCAAGTGCTGTTCCCACCTTGCACAGCCTGTGAGTCAGGGGGAGGTGCAAAGCCAGGCTTCCCCCCACACCGCCAGCACAGCAGGCCCCACCTCGCTTCATTCACTTGGGTTGTGAGGGCAACATTTTCGTCCATTCCATATGCCTACAGACACAAAGTCATCATCCCCTGATCGTCTACTCACTTAACAAACATTGGCTGAGAACCTAGTGTGGGTCTGGCAGAGGGTAGAGAACAACCCTTGCCCTCTAGGAGTTTGTGGTCTTACTGGGCAGACCAACACCCAGGCCAGTGACAGTGGTCCAGACAGACCAGACCATGAGGTAAGGGCCACAGCAGAGGTGCTTTGGGAGCTCAGAGGAAGGCAGGCCTAGTTCTGCCGGGGACTAGAGATGGGAAAGGAAACATTGCCACCCAGCATGGGCTGGGCCCAGCCATCACATGTGAGTAATTATTCCACCACCAAGCCCGGAGAGTTGAAATAAACTCAATTCACACGGCATACTGTGTCATACATTCATTGGCTCTGGCCAGAAAGGACTATCAGTCTGCTTTGTGCCTCTGTGTGTGGGTGTCAGGGGCCAGATCCATGCATGACTTTCCCACATTTAGACTTAAGTCTAAAAGAACGAGTTAGATAATGTCTTTATACCTCGTGGAACTGACATTGCACCTACCTTATCTGGTTTCCCGGTCCAGGGTAAGCACTCAGAAAATATTAGACTTTGTCATCATTTTTATGTTGGTATTTTATACCCATTTAAGGAGTCTGTGAGAATTTAAAGAACATGCTTGAGGTAAATGGTTAGGCTAAGATTTAGGAACAGAGCCTACTATGCTTCCCCACATGGCCGTGATTTGTACTGTCTCTTTATAGCATCAGAATTCTATTTATTTCAAAATCCTTGGCTCGGCGCCTGTAGCTCAACCGGCTAAGGCGCCAGCCACGTACACCTAAGGTGGCGGGTTCGAATCCCCAGCCCGGACCCGCCAAACAACAATGACGACTGCAACCAAAAAACAGCCGGGCGCTGTGGCGGGCGCCTGTGGTCCCAGCTACTTGGGAGGCAGAGGCAGGAGACTCGCTTGAGCCCAGGTATTGGAGGTTGCTGTGAGCTGTAATGCCACGGCACTCTACCCAGGGGGACAGCTTGAGGCTCTGTCTCAAAAAAAAAAAAAAAAAAAAATCCTTATAGAGCCTTACTGTACAGAACAGATAAAAGTGCTATACACCAACTTTTATATGTCAGAAGGGCCTCATATGAGTCCATCTATGACAAGCCTAAACTGAGAGAGGAATTTTTTTCTTTTTCTATATTTATTAAATAAGGAATACCAATACTGGAATATACCTAAATTAACAAACCACAGGATGTAATTAATATCTGATTTATACATTTAGTAAAAAATTTAACTTGCTCTATTTCAGACTCTATTTTTTTTTCTTTTTGAGACAGAGTCTCACTATGTCGCCCTTGGTAGAGTACTGTGGCGTCACAGCTCACAGCAACCTCAAACTCTTAAGTGATTCTCTTGCCTGAGCCTCCCGAGTAGCTGGGACTACAGGCACCCACCACAATGCCCAACTGTTTTTTGGTTGTAGTTGTCATTGTTGTTTGGCAGGCCCAGGCTGGATTTGAACCCACTAGCTCTGGTGAGAGCCCTAGTCACTGAGCTATAGGCGCCAAACCTATTTCAGACTCTATTGGCCACCTTTGATTCTTTTTTAAAAAGAAGTTCTTGTAGGTTATACATTTTTTCTTTGTAGATATACAAAAAAGTGAATCCTCCTCATTTTGTCTGTATCTGAGCTCATCTTCCACCTAAGCTTCCTCCCACTTGTTAGCAAGGGAAAAAGACGCAGCACTCTTTATCCTTCCCTGGTAAGGCTAGTCTGATGCAATAACTTCAATAATCCTTATAGGAAATGCTCAGTCTCTTAGGGATGGAAATGTCCATTCTTGAAGATGGCCCCCTCTTCCTTCTGCATTGCTCCCTGGGATAACTGCCAGGTGACAGGGAGAGGCAGGGTTGTGTGACCCTGTACCTTAGGAGTCTGTGTGGGGCCCTCTGGCTGGCAAGTCCCCACATAGCTGTCTCTTGTGATTGGGCTGCACCCCCTCTACCCATATTTTCTCTTGGTGAGCCTAGGGGCCTGGGGGCGTTCCCTGGTTTGCCAGCCTTGCCTTGGCATATCTGCCATTCAATGTGGCCCGTCTATTCTATAGTCTCCACTGTGGAGTCGCTTCCCTCCATGAGGGAGCCTTGCGGCAGTCCCATCAGCCAGCGTGGGTACTTCTAGACTCTGCCTGTGCCACACATCAAGATCTGATGAGCCACACTAAGACCTCATTCTCTGCCAACAATGATGCGTTGCCCCATGTTCATATGCCCCATCTCCAAGCTGGGTCCTTGCTAGAGTTCTGAATAAGGATTGGGGCAAAAGTCATTCGGCCCCCAATGTTCCATCAGATGCTTAAGACATTTCTACCACTTTGGGCTTCCAAGGCCCACGTAGCCTGGTGGGACTGGGACACAGAAATCTCACCCTCTGCCTCTCCTGCCCCCTCCCCTCCCCTGCATAAAACATGAGGGCCAAAGGAATGAAGCCATGCAGCTTTGCTTCCCTTTCACTACATTTGCTTTTTTCCTGACCCAGACCTCAGTCAGAGCCAGGCCTGGTGACAGACAGGCAGTGTCACCTGCTCTACTCTGGAGGGGACGGGGCTACCCACCTAGTCTTCCCTGTGTTGGATGGGAGGAGCTAAAGGAATTTAGGAAGCCTCCTCCCAAGACAATCACCTGGTCGACCAGACTTCCATCTTCCATCTTCCATCTTAAAATCCTATTTTCTGTGTCAGAAACTCATTACTACATTTTCCTCACCCTCCTCCTTTTATAACAACTCTTATCTCCCCCACCCACCTGCGAGCCTCATTGAACAGGCGGAGCCTACTATGGGAAGAGGGTCTGTAGTCGAAAAGACAACAGGGAAAAGCAGAGTCAGTCTGAAAACAGGTTGTTGGACAGTCAGCCTCACTTTGCTTCGTGGGGTCTCTACACAACAGGTTACAATTTGCCATTAACTGCAAATGAAGAAATAGCAGCCATTGTCATTGTCATTGGCATAGTAGCCACTGATGCAGATGGCTTCTCACAGATTTCTTTGCTATGGCTCAGATATGTTCATGGAAAAACAGCCTTTTCATTCTGCTTGTTTCTCTTTGGGGCGGAGGGAAGGGCGGGGGACTTGATAAAGCTTGGCTGGTATAAGCTTCTTTCTCTCACAAAGGGTTTTCCCTCTTGCTTTCTATATATTCTCAAGATGAAAACTGAGCTGACTACTTCACAAAAGCACCCACTTTCGAATCTGCGGCTTTGAGGACAATTCTTGGTGTTAAATTTCTTTCCTTGTTTTCTCCGTTGAAATTAAAGGGCAGAGCAAGTCCTTAACAATCTGGAATGGCCACGCCGAGAACCCTCCTGGGGTCCAACTTATCTGAGTCTGGTGTTTTTCTTTCTCTCCTTTAGAGAGCCAGAAAGATGAGAATGATCTGAAAGAGGAACAAGAAATATTCACCAAGATGATGCAAGTGATTGAGCAGAGGGATAAACTCGTAGACTCCTTAGAGGAACAACGCGTCAAAGAGAAGGCTGAAGACCAGCACTTTGAAAGCTTCATCTTCTCCAGAGGGTGCCCTCTGAGCAGGACGTGACAGGGACCAGGGTCACTCTCCCTCCCAGCTAACTGATTGTATCATCCCTGGGACTTAAATTATACTCGACTGCATTTTTTTTTAATTAAAATTCTCTTGCATGTACTACAGCTTCCCAAGATTCTTCCAGAGCTTCTAATGAAGAAAGCACAAAGTCTCTGTTGAAGCTGGCAGTTCTCCTTGGCTACAGGGCTCTCACACTGGAGGTGCTGCTGGCAGACGACCAGCCTTGTTTTCCCTAGAAAGTGGCACAAAAACTTGACTTTCTTGCTGTTTCTCTCACTTTCCTTCCCGATTCATTGAGTTACACACTTTGAGGTTTTTCAGAAGCTGCCTTTTCATTAATACATCCATATTTACCTTTTTTTTTTGCATGGATGACCGGTTTCCAAATGTCAGAAAGAAGCAGCAACAGTTTAAAGATTAGGTTAATATTTAAATTGGGTTTCCAGAGAAAGAGGAGAAACCTGGAGATTACTGATTACGGAAAGCAAATAACTCATATAGCAGGTGTTAATTCAATCCACGGTGAATTTCATTTGCCAGGTGTATTTATAAGCCCTCATATAATAGACATAAGCAATGAGAGTTTAATAGAACATGTGAGCCTTAATGTTATTAAAAGAAGGAAAAAGAAACGAAAAGAAAAGAAAACTTTCGCTTCATGCCAGCAGGATTGTTAGTTTTCACCAAATACTGCTGGTTTAGGAAAGGTTTTTGTTCCCATGCTCCTCTTGCCCTGGCCCCTGAAAAATAACAAAAAGCGTTTTTAGAAAGTGAGTAATTTTGAAGTGCTTTTTTATAAGTGTTGGTGATGGCAGAAAGGGAAATGTTGTCATTTGTTGATAAAATATTGGTCAGGTGGTGCTGCTACTAAAAGTGATTGCACTGATGGTACCAGATAAGGAGAGCTTCTTGATGGTGGTCTCAGATACAGAGAAGCGTCTCTCGCTCTCCCCAGGGATTGCCTACAGGACAGGGACAAACCCGCTTCTGACTTCAAGGTAGAGCTGAATACAGGGACCCTGTTTACCAAATCCCAAATCAGGTTGTAGAATTTTTTTTATGACATTTCAATATGAAAAGAAAGCTTTGGACACAGAGATCGGAGATGGTGCACTGACCTGTCAGAAGTCCTGGAGTGTTTTGATGGTTCATTGGAAGGCCAAAGAAAGAAGATTTTAAATGGTGATGTGTTGTCATAAAATATTCGATTGTCTTCCTTCTGTGGCATTCTTTGAAGGGTTAGTCTGTTATTGATAAGAGAGAGACTAAAGAAGTCTGTGTTATAGACTTAGCCGCTCTCGTTTCTGAAAGTGTTTAAATGTGTCATTAGACAAAAGGTGCTTTGCAGCAGTTGTCTCTGACTGGAGAACAAATTTTTCTCAATAGAAGTTGACCCAGGAACCCCTTCTGTCAGAGATGCTCTCTGCACACCAATCTGGCCAGCTCACAAGCCAGAAATTAGGTAGATAACTGGATTTCCTCTGAGTCAGCCAATGTTTGGGGTGTATTTAAATACAAAACCTTTCCATGTTACAAAAAATTCCAAAGATTGTAGTTCTTTTTCTTTTCTTTCTTCTTTTCCTTTTTTATAAGTATCAAGTCTTCTGGTGCCCGAATCTTATTATTAGGGAGTATTTGGAGGCGTCTATCTACCTACCTACCTATGAAAACAGTACCACTTCTGGCTGTTTATCTATGTTTATTTATTTGTATATTAGGTGAAAATTAATAATATGATGTCTTCATAATTCAGGTTTTCCTGTGTTGTAATTTGGAGGAGACCTATTAGCATTAAGAAATCATCATATGAGCTATTTAACATACAAATAATCCAGATGTTTGGGGCAGTGAATTGTATAGTATTAAAGATGCTTAGAGATATTCAAAATAACGTTTTCTGCCCTCATTCAGAGGTAAGATTATGGGTGCACAAGGCCAGGTACAGTGGCTCAGGCCTGTAATCCTAACACTCTGGGAGGCTGAAGCAGTTGGATCTTCTGAGCTCAGGAGTTGGAGACCAACCTGAGCAAGAGCAAGACCCCTGTCTCTACTGAAAAAAATAGCCAGGTGTTATGGTACACACCTGTAGTCCCAGCTACTCAGGAGGCTGAGGCAAGAGGAACACCTGAGCCCAAGAATTTGTGGTTGCTGTGAGCTATGATGATGCCAGGGCACTATACCCAGGGCGATGGAGTGAGACTCTGTCTCTAAAAAAAAGATTATGGATACACAGAAATGTTAAGTCACAAGAAAAAAGAGATATAACTGCAGAAATATTCAAGCGTAGCCTTTTCTGTTAGTTGAATGAAAGTGTACCATTTAAAGCCTACATACATTTAATGGATGATACTCAAATGTGTAATGTTTGGTTTGTTATTGTACAAAATAATTAATTGCCACTTATTTTAATTTCTTATATTTCTATCTAAAAAAACAGATTCTCCCAAGAGGGCCAAGAAAAAAGGTGGTTCTTGGCCTTTAATATTTTGTTAGTAGAGGAGAGAAGCAATTTGATCACTTTCTTCTGTAGATTATATTCTTTGGTTTACAGCTCAGTTTTATCTGGCCAAGTGAAAACATAAACCTCATACTTAATATTGGAGAGTTTTCTATATACATAAAACCATTTCATACATAAAAATCCTTTCAATGACTTTTCCAAAGAACACAAATATCGTGGCTGTTGAACACATCTAAAATGAGTACATTCCTTAGTCACGATACTGTTCTAAGATCCCCAAAATGTAAAATATTGTATAATTTGAAGACAGTTTCTTTGTATGCACTATGAGGAGGATTATGATAGAAATGGACAGAGCCTTCATTGCCCCATAAAAGAGCAGTAGTAAGGGTGATAAAGGCCAAGCCATCAGGTCATGTTTCACAGCCAGTATCACTCAGCTTCTAAGTTAAACCAAAAGTATTATGATGGTATAAAGTCAGAACTGTACATAGGCTGGACTAAGAGTGCAATTATTTAAGATCGCTCTCCCAAATTACGCATTTCTCAATCTATTTATTTAACATGCTCTAAATGCCCATCAGGTCTGCAGCCCAATGCTAGATGCTGAGATACAGAAAGATTATTAGTCCTCCATTCTATCTCCAAATAAATACAAAGATGATGAACCAAGCACCCCCCAAATGCAAAGATTAAAAACTCTTTTTATTATAAGCATCAGCTTATTCTCCTCACACTCACGCATCAAGACTTCCACCCTCTGTAGTGCTCCCTTTGGCAATAACAATAAGTTTGTGTTTCTAAAACTGTGAAAAATAATATCAGGTTGTACTGTTTCATTTAAACCTTAACTTTGGCAGCATCAGGCTCCTTGGAATCAATCAATGCCAAGATGCAGCATGTTAATTGCAACTGAGAAAGGAAATGGCAGGTGTTTCCAACCCCGATGAGCTGCAATGAAATTGATGTTTTCTGCATTCTGGAAGCAAATGACAATTCAGCAGTGCCTCTCTCTTCCCAGGAAGCAGATTTATAGGCTTTTCCTTCCAAACTGAAAATGGCAGCAGGCCCCACCCAGGTGGTTGATCAGAGAAGCACCTCAGCAGGGCAGAGGTGGCAGGGGGCAGCGGGGCCAGCACATGAACAGAGAGTGTGGCAGTCATTGGATGCAGCGAGCTCAAATGAAGGGGTTTATTGTAATCAGGAAGTTCACGTACGGGGGAAAGTGTACTATTCCACCTATTTATCTTCTAACCTCACTGCTGAGGAGCTGGTAAAAGATTAATTTGCTCCAACAATTGGAAACTATTCATGTGGATGGAAATGTGTGTTCGGCGTGCACTGCTGTAAATACTGAAATGGACCAAAAATAAATGGTTTTGTGTCTCAGGAATCAAAACATTTTTCTGTGGGCTTGGTCTGGCACCTCTGAGGGCAGCGTCCATTTCATTTCTTTCTTCTCCGTGAAAGAACCCCGGGCAAGGCTTTGATTTTGTGTGGGAGTCTGTGAATTAATACAGGAGGTTTTATGACCACAGAGGCACCTGGAAGGACTCACCTGACCCGCAACTTGGATCCAAATTGGAGGAGGAGCGAAACAGGCTCACCTCGGGTCTGGTCTCTCAGCTTAGAAAGCCATTGTCAGGGCCGGGGGAGGGCCGGGGAGAGGCCTGTGGCAGCCCCAGCCCCTCTTTCCTTTCACCTTCTTTCCTGGTGAAGCCTGGTTTTGTGTTTTATTCACTCAACAGAAACACTCCTTTCTGCCCAGAATTGGCCTCTTCCTTCAACTCACACTCTTTGAGCTTGTTTTCCCCCTTCACTCCAGCACATGCACATTTATAAACTACAAGCTCAGGGCACAGCAGAATTGCTGCATCAGGTTAATCATGTGGGCAGTCGCAGGGGGTCCCTTCATTCCACACTAAGTTCACACCATTATGTGAAAGCTTTAATCTGCTGATCAAAAGTTTGAAATGATTTATTTTTTCCATTGAGTATCAACGAAAACTATAAGTGCCTACGAGAGCTCCTGTTTTGCCAGTGCTAAAGTGAAGAGCTTCAAGGAGTAGTCAGTCACCTTGGATGGAGGGGGGTTTTTTTTGCAAGTTTTCCTGGGGACACTGGGGCTCATCTGGCCTCCTGCTCTCAGAGTGCAGACTCTCAGCCTTTGCTGCCACTCACCATCCCTGAGAGATTTCATGCTCTCTCCCTCTCCCGGTTCATTTTTAGAAATAAAAGAAAGCAAACCCAAGGCATCACAGCCTCCCCGGGGAGCCTCCTTTGACCCTGATAATGGTAACAGCTCCTGTGAATTCATCTCTTCTCACCTACCAGGTGCTGGCATATGCTCTGCAAGTACATTATCCCACCTAATTCTGAAAGCAAAAAATCTTTACAGCAAACATCATGGCCATTTTAAATGACAGGACTGAGACACGAAGAGCCTCAGGCACTTATCTGAGGTAGTGCTGGTCCCAGCTGTTGGCCTCTAGAGCCTGGCCCTTGACCCCCTGGGCTGTGGGGCTGGCCCAGTGTCCCCACGCAGACTGAGCCTGATGTGTCCTGGTTCTCTCCTTCCTTTCTTACATGGGT